TTAGATACAAACAAGTACTCCAGTAACTCATCATTTCCCGTTAGGTAGTGCAAATTTACGTTAAACCCACAATATTATGGTAACATGGTTGTTCGACCTAGTTTGTGGTGCATAACAACTTGAACATTTGCTCGACACGAATCTGACAACTACTTTTTTCATTGATTTCTTCTTTGAATACTTTATAGCAAGGTCTTAAATGGGCTTCTGGATCGTCACGCACTGACGTACGCTTCCGGACCCATAAACTGTGTTTTGGAAATCGGATTTATCAATAATCCATCTCCATGGCCACTCCCTGTTATAGAACTTATTACTTTTTGTGTAATATGTGACGTATACGCCAAATTACGTACTAGAATAGCAGTCATTTCAAGGATCGATTTGTTGTGGATATCACAAATGATTTGTGACAATGTCGAGGTATGTTCATTACATTCCTAGTTGCAGTGTTCAAGCCTAGAAGCCTACCCATGAATGAAAATACCCTGAATTGACTCTATTCTATGCCAGTTGAATGTAAGAATATATGTAATAGGTCACTAGCACTTTTTCTGAGCCAGTAATGTTTGTAATTTACTGAATGGCGGCCAGTTTGCCAATAATAGAACGCTTTTTACCATAGGTTCCTATTGTAGGAATATTACGTAACATTGTAGACTGGTGACGGAGAGTTTAAAAAATGTATATCGTGACTGATGGTGTAGTTTGTTATGTTATTATTATTTCAACAATTTTAAAAAGTGACGGAGGGAGAATATTTTTTTCTTTAAAAGTATATATTATGGGGTTTATCTGAAACTAAACTTTTTCTAACACATAAACAATGCTGCGTGTTGTTGACGTCATCCCAGCGCGTCATGTGTCATGTTTTCAATCTCTTAACCGTTTGCGTTAAGACTAAAATGAGGGTGTCTGTTAAGTATTGAAATAAATTACGCTAACAGCAAGAAATAACTGAAGAAAGCCAGCCAGTCAGACAGACAGAAATAAACGACAAAACTTTCTAGTGCGCTACGCGTTTCTTCGTGACATATAGAAATAGAGGCCGTAACTTCACACTGACGCTGGCGTTCTGTACGGCAGTCCATATCGTTACGAAAACCCATCGCCCAAACAAACACAATTTTGTTTGCGTAAATCAATGCTTAACTTGTTTTATTTTATATTGAAAGTTACTTTTATTTCAAGAACAATACATATGTAAGCCAAAGAATAAAGATTGTTAATTTCATAGTTGGATACATTTCTAATTCGGAATTAAAATGTTAATAATGTTAATATGATGATTAATTCAGTGCGTGTGTTCTAGCTTACAGAACTGTTATATTTTGTCATCATTTCAAGGTTGAAGTTATCTAAAATTTAATTTCAAATTTAAGACGGTGCAAGTCACTCTTACAGTAACTGATTTCCGCGGAGTGCGGCGGAAATCATCAAAGTCGATCGTTAGGATGTAATCAAGAGATCCGTACGTCCAAATTTTAAAACCGCTCGTCCGTATTTAATAAGGCATGTCGTAGGTAACAATCTTACCGTAACGAAAGCAATAAATGTCGACCCTATGAAATATTTTTTTGTGCCAGATGGGTTTCCATTCTGTTTTTGTCTTGCCTTTCATTTACGCAATGACGCCGCGTCCGCACGGGGAACCGCGGCGCCTAATTGTGTTCTTATCAATCTCAAAAATTAAAATTATTGAAAGTGACGTCCATAAATTAATCAACGCATTTTATTCGAAAAATGAGTCATGCAGTGTATCTCGATTGCAAGGTTCAAAGAAGATCTCGAACAAGGGCACCGGGGATTGCTTTTACTGTTCGCTCAGGGGACGTCATGTCCCTGAATTACGCGTAAGCTGAAAGTGCAGTTGAAAGGATACATTTGATGGTTGCGGTGTTGCAGCTGATATTACCAATGTTGAGATTAAAATATCATGTATGGATAACGTTTGTTAGTGTCATTTCCCTTGCGATAGGTTAAAGCGTTGCTATAGTTTTACGGCGATTACGTCACATACACCTTGCAGTCATTAGTCTTAGTGATCAGATAAGCGTTGACCAGTAAAGCTGCACATGACTGGCAAGATGGATAACTCACATACAAGTGTAGTTTTATTTGCACAAACTCTGGTTATACAAATCCGATAAAGTGGCTTTCTGAGTTCAATCTTGAAATGAAATTAGGCTCATATTTTTAATTATATTTAACCTATATGAAGAATATTCGCGAAAAGATTTGTTCAATTTGTGACAGCTTTTGTTTTTTTACTAACGGTTGAATATTGAGTCATAGCGATCTCGTGTTACTTAACCACGTACATTGACAGATGATACTCACTCCGGTTTGATATATATGTATATATAATATATCTATTCCTGGGTATGTCTCAGTCTTTGAAGGCATGAGAATACGCTATTCAGATTAAAGGATTTAAAACCTGTCGACAAACCGCCCTGTATATCTTCGGTTTATGCCCTTGGCATTTCGCATCATTGGGTCGGCAATCTTCGTTCGGGAATAGGCAGAATGCAAACAATCCTGGCGGTGCCATTAATGCTATACACAAACATATTCCCGAACAACTATTGTGTCTCTAGATAGTATCAAAGAAAGCTTAGCAATGAACAAATCACAAAATGACTACATTGTTTCAAGGCAAATACATGTTTCATTAGTTTGGCTTCAGTTTTGGAATGGGGGCAGTAAATTGACCTGCTTTCTTTTATAACGTTATACTCTCTACGAAAATTTCGTAATATGTACTGAGAAGTCTTTATTTGTTTGTTTCTCTTTGCAATTTATCGATTCTCAGTGGTCAAAAGGTACTTTGGCATATTGAAGAATTGTCTAACTATACTTTATTGTCGCTAAAAGATATTTTATTTGATATGCATTTTAAGTCGATGAATTTCACGCTGATAAGGAAACTATTGTTTTGGAAAATGGTAGAGAAAAGTTAAATTCAATTTTAAAATTACAAAAAAACTATTTGATTTCTATGTGTGCTGAGGGAGTAGACAGCGTATATGTGCGCACTGTGGGGCAGGATATAAGTACGCACTGTGAGAGTACGTCCCGTTTAAGGTGCACACTGTAGGAATGGCAACGTATAGATACGCATTGTGAGAGTACGCAGCGTATAGATGCGCACTGTGACGTTACGCAGCGTATGTATGCGCACTGTGAGTGTACGCAGCGTATGTATGCGCACTGTGAGTGTACGCAGCGTATAGATGCGCACTGTGAGTGTACGCAGCGTACAGATGCGCACTATGAGTGTACGCAGCGTATAGATGCGCACTGTGAGTGTACGCAGCATATATGTGCGCACTGTGAGTGTACGCAGCATGTAGATGCGCACTGTGAGTGTACGAAGCGTATATATGCGCACTGTGAGTGTACGCAGTGTATAGATGTGCACTGTGAGTGTACGCAACGTATAGATGCCCATAGTGAGTGTACGCAGCGTATAGTTGCGCACTGTGAGTGTACGCAGCATATATGTGCGCACTGTTAGTGTACGCAGCGTGTAGATGCCCACTATGAGTGTACGCAGCGTATATATGCGCACTGGGAGTGTACGCAGCGTATATATGCGCACTGGGAATGTACGCAGCGTATAGATGCGCACTGTGAGTGTACGCAGCGTGTAGATGCGCACTGTGAGTGTACGCAGCGTATATATGCGCACTGGGAGTGTACGCAGCGTATATATGCGCACTGTGAGTGTACACAGTGTATAGATGTGCACTGTGAGTGTACGCAACGTATAGATGGCACTGTGAGTGTACGCAACGTATAGATGCGCACTGTGAGTGTACGCAGCGTGTAGATGCGCACTGTGAGCGTACGCAGCGTGTAGATGCGCATTGTGAGTGTACGCAGCGTATATATGCGCACTGCGAGTGTACGCAGCGTATAGATGTGCACTGTGAGTGTACGCAGCGTATAGATGCGCACTGTGAGTGTATACAGCATATATATGCGCACTGTGAGTGTACGCTGCGTATAGATGTGCACTGTGAGTGTACGCAGCGTATAGATGTGCACTGTGAGTGTACGCAGCGTATAGATGTGCACTGTGAGTGTACGCAGCGTATAGATGTGCACTGTGAGTGTACGCAACGTATAGATGCGCACTGTGAGTGTACGCAGCGTGTAGATGCGCACTGTGAGTGTACGCAGCGTGTAGATGCGCATTGTGAGTGTACGCAGCGTATAGATGCGCACTGTGAGTGTAGGCAGCGTATATATGCCCACTGTGAGTGTACGCAGCGTATAGTTGCGCACTGTGAGTGTACGCAGCGTATAGTTGCGCACTGTTAGTGTATGCAGCGTGTAGATGCCCACTATGAGTGTACACAGCGTATATATGCGCACTGTGAGTGTATGCGCACTATGGGAGTACACAGCGTATATATACATATGAATGCTTCATGCCTATGGATAGTGTTAAGGGTTGAGGTAATGTACAAAGCAACATCGCAAATCTACAGTATGTTATGTAAGTTATAAACACATTTTGCAGCTCCGCTAATCTGCAGGGTCAAATGAACCATAATAAACCATGCATGCTGACCAAGTCGTAGTTCAACACATGTATATCACTGACTTATGCATAGTATACGTGCATACAATGCGCTAGATGTTACGTGATATGTATTATTTATAAACATCATCATACACGTCTCATTTTCTCTACAAATACGATTGCTTTTACTCCGCAATTGTGTACTTATAGATAGTAAACTTGATGATGTCGAACAGGTTCCTTGCAAACTGACACACACAAACGTTCGATGGCTCGCGTATTTAGGGTAAAGAATTAAATGTCTAAACCACAGCCATGGGGAAGGTTTTAAACACATATTTATTTGAAATAATGAATTTGCATTTTTTTTATCGACTCAAATAACAAAATGCTTCACGGATTTGTACGCCCCAATGGCTGTGTGTTCACGACTTTAATAACACTATTTTGTTTTCGCTGTTTTTAGGTGCTCATTTGGTGGATAGCTGTGATAGTGACGCACGCGCCTTGGAGGAGGCGGTCGATTTTATTCGGGGTGCGAGCACGCTTGGCAGTGAAGGGCAATGCGTGTGTTCTGATGGGTCCGTCCAAGACCAGGTTACAATATCCGGGGTAGTTGGTGCGTCCTCTAGCGTCGTATCTGTGCAAATTGCCAACCTATTGAGATTATTCAGGATACCTCAGGTAGGTCACGAAAGTTCAAAGACAAGTTGTAGTTTTTTTTTTCTGAAACTGTAATACCTTTCTTTAGTTAAATAAAAAACAGGTCAATTTTTTTTTTTTTAATTTTTGAGAGACATTTTTAGGTCAGTTAACGCCATTTGTGTTTGAATATAACACACGTATTCTAATTGAATACACATTGACAATTTGTTTTAAAGGCCGGTGGTCGTCGCGTCTCGCATGTTCGACATTTGTGTTGATAAACATTGATTTTTCCACAATCCGATGCGCCATTATAATGGAAATCACGAGTACGTGTTTTGACCTGGGCGCAACGACCACGAATTACCACCGATGATGTCTTCTTCGATACCTTCCAATCACCAAATAAATTATATAGTTAAAGTTTAGTAATGTCTCAGTTTGTACTAGTTAGTCTGCGCAACAGTAAAAATTTCCATCTTCGTTCATATGAATCCCATATCTCGCGCATGCGTGGCGCGACGACCACCGCCCTTTGATAAGCGGTCCAGTTGAATCGTTAGCGAATAACTGGGTGCATGTTACATAGTTGGATTAGTAATAGTGAACCAATCGTTGTATTCAATAAACCGTTTTAGAAAAAAAAATTATACGAGGCATGCGCCACTATGCATCATGCGTCGCATGGTGGTCTCACGGTGGCGGTATTTATAAGCTCACGCAAAGGATAGAGTTAAATTGAATTGGAATAATATTTAGATTGCCACATGGCTAGTAATGAGTTAGATGATAAGTAGTCAGCCGTGATGACAGACAAAGTGGGCAGATATGTCAGCTTACCTTGACACTAAGTACGTCAAATAACAGTTGATAAACTCGTATATCTGTCTCATTAACCGAGTCAACTGATGTCGAAATTCAATAACTTCTTTAAATACACCGTTAGTAAAACACATGTATTGGCTTTCTCGACGTGTGAAGTCCTTACGCTCTGAACGCACAGTTTTTTTAGAAGTTGCACTGAATAAGCCGATGTACATTTCAGCAAGTATTTATGTGTTAATTGCCAGTTGGTGCTGATTAAAAAGTACATTCTGTTCACCGTGGGGGAGGGGGAGGGTAACCACAGTATATGTACGAGATGGAAAGACGCCAAATATTTTTTTCCTGAAATCCTTTCAGTGCTAGTTTTGTCTCCACCAGCTAAAATTATTAAGATGTCGACTCCTCCGAATCCCAACACAACAGCATTGAGTTACTTTCCAAAACAAACTTTTTTTTGTTATGAACGAGACTGCTGGACGGTCTATGACGTGAATAGAGATTGGATGCAAACACATCCTGCAATTATGTGTACTTTCCCAACAGATTAGTTATTGGTCCACCAGTCCAGAGCTGAGCAATAAAGAGAGATTCGAATATTTTTTACGCACAGTGCCGTCAGACATATATCAAGCCAAGGCCATAATAGATTTAGTAGAGTTTTTTAATTGGACTTATATATCCGTTGTGTACGAGGACTCTAATTATGGTAGCAATGGTTTTGCCGAAGTAGAAGAAGAGGCGAAGGCGAGGGATATCTGCATTGCTATCTCAGAGAAGATCCCCCGCGACAAGAAACTAGCGACAGATGCCGATTTTGATAAAATAATAATGAATTTGAGGAAAAAGCGGAACGCGAAAGGTAAAACAAGACGACATAATATATTCTTGTATTCTCTACATGCACCAATAAACAGCGCAAAGTTGCGATGATAAAAACACAAACCATCAGTATTCTGTATTAACGCGCGAATCATTAGTGAATTCCTCAACCGATCCCACATACACGACATTCACCGATTACTTGCTCGCATTCTACCTCGAAGCAGCTATGATCTAAGTTGTGTGATAGCTTTAATCCTTTGAAATGAATCACAAGCTAAAACACAGTAATCGTGGTCAAGGTAACTAATCATTCAGCGACACTGCGCATGTGCAAAGTAGACAGACAAGGAAATGAATTATGTTTTTACGACTGAGGGGGAAACAACGCTTGGTTTTTTGCGTTAGATTTAAGGTGCTTCTTGGGAAATAGTTGATCTTTTTGTGCTACATTTACGTGATGCGTCTTGACATTTGAGACATAAATTTATATCGCAACAATAAATTTGAAATCGAGCCGCATATCACTTATATGTCGAATTTTGTATTGAGAATAGAAAGGGCAAGTGGCAAACTAATAACACTTTTATGTTATTGTTTAATCGTTTGATCTCCTGTTCTGTTTTTGCAGCTGTTGTCGTGTTTGCACTGGAGCAAGATGTCAAACCTCTTATGCAAGCCGCTAAACGAGCCAAGACAGCCGGCGAATTCGTCTGGATCGGGAGCGACGGCTGGAGCGGAAATAAAGATGTCGTACGCGACCGTGAAGAGTACGTTGAGGGCGCAATAGCATTTAGCCCTCTGTATTCAATTGTTCACGAATTTGATGAACATTTTGTAAAATTAACACCATCATCGAACGAAAGAAACCCGTGGTTTGAAGAGTACTGGGAGGATATATTTCAGTGCAGACTGCCGGGAAACTTAGAGAGCAAGTTTAATGCTGGTATGCCCCTATGTAATGCCAATTTCACGTTGCAGGAACATGGGAGATATGAACAAACTTCTCCCAAGATGCAATTCGTTGCTGATGCGGTTCTAGCATTCGCGCATGCGTTCAATGATATTCAACGGAAATTCTGCGGAGAGGATTATTATGGCATGTGCCCTCTGATGAAACAGATGACTGGTGCGCAGATATTGGAGAACTTGAAAAAAGTATCATTCACAGGTAAACATATTTACATTGAAATTTCGAGACCACCTATGGAAAAACTAAATTTACAGAACGCAGAAACGAATACGGTAAACCGAAGTATAACGCACTGTACTAGTGGGAGACGCCAATCGGGCGAGTCAGACTTTTGCTGAATGTCTGAATCAGGAGCTTTGTGGACACTGTTCAGGTTTCGAATAGCCGTACTATGTATAGAGTGCACATCATGGCACTACAATGACTTCCCGTTCATCGAGATATCTATCGTTTCTTATCTTTGTAATGAGCAGGTCATAGACAGGGCATTTAGTTTTCATTGTCGACGCGAGTGACACACTTCCAATAGGAATTTCCTGAAACTTTGCTAAATTACTAGCTGTGAAACAAATGTGGTACCGGAACGGTGTTGAATAATGAACCAAAGTTCTATGCATTTTGTCATTATTAACGCAATTAGATAATCATAAAATCATCGTTTCCCTATTCGGGTAGCTCTCTTTTAGTTTGCAGTTACTTTTTAAATTAATAAATCTCAACGTCAATTCGAAACAGCACATAGTTATAAGTTATTTCAAACTAAACTTCAGCACGTCGTGGTGCATCGTTCTCTTAAGTCGCGCCCTCTAGCGACGAAGCGCGTTAACATTAATTAAATCGATCTGAGGGCGTCGTTCACAGCGACGATATTATTTTGTGTCACTCGCCAATAAACAATACAGTTACAGAGTATTTACCGATTTGCTCAATTCTCAATTACGAAAAACTTCTCAGTTGTGTATTTGACACGACATTTCTTACATTCATCAACGTGATATCACGGTAGAGTTTCATCACTAGATGGCACTGTTTATTAGAATGGTGTATCAGGATATCGTAATGTTTAATTCACGCTTTTCTGCGCGGGCACTTAACACTTGCTCGACAGAAAACTAATTTAGCTACAAGGCTGTCTAAGCTAACCAGACGAGTACCATGATTTGTGGCGTTATGAGGATGGAAGGGATCAATATTATCCCGTTACAATTAATCAAACTCCGTTCGAGACAGCAGAAACTGGATCTGTTCATTTTAAAAGATTAATATTACCATTTACAAAAGATATCCTATCACAGGTTTACACGGAAAGGGTATTATGTACTTATACCACACTACATTTAATAAATACATTAGGTTTTTTTAATTACAGATTGTCCATTTCATATACTCGTCATGGTAGTTACAGAGGGAAATGCTGTCCAAATAGAAAAAAAGATTGAGCAGTTGAATACAAATTACTCTTGAACCTGAAAAATGATGATTTTTTTTGTCTGTTTATGTAGGTATCAACAAACACGATTTCGAGTTCCAACAAAATGGCGACGGACCAGCCAGATATAAAATATTCAACTTTTTGCAAGTAGCTCCTGGAGATTTCCGCTGGTCTGAAGTGGGGAAGTATGAAAACAGCCACCTCTACCTCAACTCCGATAAAATTCAGTTCACCATTTCTCAGCCTAACTACCCGGATTCGATCTGTAGTCAGCCGTGCCCTAGAGGGCACGTTAAGTTAATACAAGAAGGAGACGTCTGTTGCTGGGTGTGCACGGAATGTAACAAGTATCAATATTTGATGAACGAATTCACGTGTTACGATTGTCCAATCGGAACTCTTCCTAACTACGCCCGAGATGGATGCATCGACTCACCAGAGGAATATGTTACGTACGACAGTTCATGGGGAATCGGTGTACTGTGTTTTGCCACCGCTGGCGTCATTGTTACATCTCTCGTTATCGTGGTGTTTATCAAGAACAACGACACGCCGATCGTCAAAGCTTCCGGGCGTGAGCTGACGTACGTACTTCTTGTGGGGATCTTTTTGAGCTACGTCATCAGTTTTGTCGTGGTTGCAAAACCCTCCGTGGCAACGTGTGCTGCAACCAAATTCGGAATCGGGTTCTGTTTCACATTATGCTATGCGGCCATGTTAACAAAGACTAATCGCATTGCCAGAATATTCGACAGAGCGAAATCGTCGGTGAAAAACACAAAATATATCAGCCCCACTTCGCAACTTGTAATATGCACATGTATCATGTGCGTCGAGTTTGTTGTTCTAGGAGCCTGGTTTGCGTTTCAACCCCCTAGGACTACGTATCACCACCCTGTACGGGAAAAGAACGAATTGACGTGCTCAGGTGCCACGGACGCCACCTATCTCATAGGGTTGATGTACCCTTTCTTTTTAATGGTCTTCTGTACCGTCTATGCATTCAAAACACGAAACTGTCCGGAGGGATTTAACGAAGCTAAATACATTGGATTCAGCATGTACACCACATGCGTGATATGGCTGTCGTTTGTACCTATTTATTTTGTTAGTTCACGCAACGTGGCCTTACGAGTGACCACATTAAGCGTGTCTGTTGGACTATGTGCAACCGTAATACTCTGCTGTATCTTTGCTCCAAAACTCTATATTATTTTAATACGACCAGATCGCAATACCAGGGGCTGTGTGATGGGCAGTGATGGGGGTACATCAATTGGCATCCAGACAAGGAGAACCTTCTCCGAAGTGGTCAGACATACGATACAAACTGAGCGTAAGTATATTTAAACATATTCACACTTGTAATCAACCCAAGATGAGCGATGTCTCGGTCAGTGTTTGTAGTGAAGTCCACCGTGACGTAGACTTGCTTGCATGCAGTCTGTTGCGATTCCGATGAAAAATTCTTAAAAAATAAATATGAATTACGTAAACGAGGGGTGAACGCGGAGGTCATGTGACCGCGAAATCCCAACATTTCGTGGCGGTCACCCCTTTTCATCGGAATCGCAACAGACTGCAAGTAAGTCCAACGTGACGCGAAACCACACGCTGCTGTCTGGGTGGAATTGTGATCACATTTATTTGTGCGATATTTGCATTTTTACGTGTTATTTAGGATCTTACACCAGATAGTTATATACTATCATGGTACAATGTCATGCACATTTTAGCATAATCATATAAAAAAACAAATACTCGAACAATATTTAGTTTGACCTTTAGTGGCGAACTCAGCCGAGCGCATCACAAGTTTATAGCATGCCGTTATAAGGGCCCGTGGTTGAATTTAATAATAAACCCGTGTTATCAGTCTCTTCATTACTCCTTGATTCCAACGTACGTTGCAGACTTCCCAAAGATATTTTGAGAGATGACATTACCACTTCATTCAATATGATTGTGGTTCCGGTGCGTATTGTTAATGTGTTGAATGTCACTTTGTTGTAGGACTAAAATCGAGGACAAATTCAGTCATGTTCGAAAGCGGTAGTGGAAAGTTTTGTAGTATTTCCACCTCGATGGAGCATGTAGACTCTGAGTTGTGTAAGTTCAGCTGTCGATGTTATGTGGTATATTCACGCTTTCGGCTGATAAAAGGTCTTCACTACGTCTTAAATTGTGCTGTTAAAGTATAGTTCGTTTGAATTCTCCATGGGGAGCGAGCGAGGAGATAATTATAATGTTATACTTATTCTGAAAGCTTTTCCAATTGACAGCGCACAAACAGCGTACGCGGCGTAACAGAAATTGTAGAATAAATAAGATCAATTTTACTATTACGCACGGTTTTGCCAACTGTACATTCTAACCGGAAATGAGATCACAGCCGAAACTAGTATATACTACTCACGTGTGTTTTAAAGCTCACAACCATATCCTCCGAATACACCCTTATCTTTCAGAAAATAAAGTCACGCGATGCATGCGCACACGCACGCCTCGCTGTTACGTTGATGTGTATTTCCAGCTCTAGCGCACATAATGCACATTTTTATCTTCAATTCTCATCATAACTGAACCACTCTATCGGGAGTAATAACCTATTAGAACAACACACGTAACACTGCGACGTTGAAGGACGGTGGTCGTTGCGCCGCTTTATATCGCTGTTCAACAATGGTTCCATGCTATTCCATGCTTGTAAAATACGTTTATAATGCTTGTTTACACGTACATTTTGAACGCGCACGTCACGACGACAACTGCTTCAAGACAAGATTTAACTGTGACGTAGCCGATATGCTCACGTGCGCCGACCTCAGTGTATTTGTACCGGTGTAAAGGAATCCCTGTAATGTAACCATATCGTAATTTCTTATAAACCCTCTTTCCAGAATGTGATTTGAATCACCATTTCTCATCACGTACTTCTCCATTGCAGTTCATTCGTACCAGTTGTTTCTCAATTTCTTACAGCTTTCCCGCTCATTGTAATACATTATAGTGGTGGTATCTATGTTCCTTTTTCGTAATTTGCACTGCCCGTGCACTTTAAACTGTTGTGTTTATTACACTTTGTATACATTTGGTCGTTCACCTCTGTGTAACCACGACTTAATGCCACAAAAGAGCAATTACTTCGAGTTTTCCGTAGAATGACGTGATGCAGAAAAACAGTCGATCGATATCGAATCTTTCTGAGCGCTTTTCTAAATTGCCCACGCCAAGGATAATTCATCAGCGAGTTCAACGACTTGGATAGATGAATCAGTCGTCTTTATCGTCTTTAACTATGGGTTCATTTATCACAACCGATGTTTCAAACGGTAGCTCAACCATTGATACGTTTCCCGTATCATTTTGATTAGCCTGATCGACAAAAAACACTGAGTGGTTAGAAAACGAGAGGCATTCAATTGTTTTACGTATTTCCTTCTCAGCGTTGAGTCGTGGTCGTACGGTTAAGAGTAAGACCTGTTTATTAATCACATTAATCATTATATACATTTCAATATTAAATACAGCTTTTTTAAATGTTGCTTACCCAATGAAGGTGGGGTCAATGCACTTCTACTACTGGTGTTAGCTTCAATAGTTAGTTAGTTCCAATATTAAAGATCGGCGGTCTTCGTACCGCGTCCTGTTTCGATATGAGATTCACAGCGACGTACACAACGCATGTAAAATTGTTTACATCAAAATCGAACACGCACGATGACTACCACCGATAGTTGAAATCTCGGTAAAGTTCGGGATGAAACTGTCCTCACTCTATAACACCTGTGTAACATCATTGACCACTCCTTCAGATAACGGCCAGCTTTCCCCATTAATCCCCCCCCCCTCACAATGCGTTTCTAATATTCGTACCTGACTGTAGCGTTTTTCTCTTTTTTTTCTCATGACCAGCTTTCAAAAACTTGGAGAAAGATACAACGAAAACTAATAACTTTGTAGATGCTGCAACAGAGCCCCTGACGTCATCAACAACGGTGTAGTAATGACATCAGCATTAATATAGTGACGTCATTAACACCAGTGTAGTGACGTCATCAACAGTACATGGAATCAAGGGATCTTGTTTGGCATATAAAGCAACGCATCGATTGACTTCCAGCTGGCATTCCACAACAAAGTACATAATAAACAACAATCACATAACTTTGAAATGAAATAGTTTGGAGAGGAATGAATGAAACATATGACGGATGTAGTGAAAAGTACGGCGATTAGTGGTCGCTGTTGGTCAGTGTCATGTTCACTTTGAATAATGTTGCATAACTAAATGAAAACATCGTTTGCTGCTAGACATGGTGAATATTGAAGAGGTCAATTCTAAAAGGCCTCATGTCCGTAAACTGTATATTTTGTATTTCACTGTCATGTGACTAGATTATTTCATTGCTTTAAAAAATGACGTCACAGAGAAGAGCGACTCAAACAACAACAAAATCACGAACTTGGCCCGGGAACGACCACGTGATTGTGCTCGATTAGATTAGAAAAGGATTGTTAGTTAGCATCCTCTATAAAGATCGTACTAGTATTCGTTTCCTCTGTCGTCATCACAACACGTAGCAAGTCAGCTGCTAAAGAATTTCGTATTCTACCGTATGTGTCATACGTGGCGATATAACCAGTGCTTGTTATTCAAATCGATAGAAATCTTGGAACACAACAACGGACGGATTCTGACGTCAAATGATACTTGCAACCCACAAATGGCTTATTGTTGAGACTCGGCCTCGACCGAATATATATGCTGTGTAAAATATCAACATTATAGATTTGTATTCCTTATGCATACATTACTGGGAATATGATTGTTTACCTACCCTATAGGACTATGTATCTGCGGGGACAACTCCAATGTGTTAGCTGATTGCCAGTTCTGTCGACACACTGTAGGCAACATTACGAAATATAAAGAGGATCTGGCGTTAGTCTGGTCATGGAAAGTACTAACGTTAGTACTTTCCATGGTCTGCAGCTCCATGGTTAGACGGACTCTAACGTGATCGAGCGTTTTTTTTATTGAAACAGTTGTTTGTACTTTGTCCAATTTGTTTACTTATGTACACATTGAATTAGAATAACAAAACATACTACCAGTTACCTCAATGTGACCGTTTAATTTGTTCAGAATGACGTCATGCTAGTAGTGCGGACGGTATGAATACAGAGAGTGTGTAGTCTGTTCTTCTGTCATGGACCACTTTCCCGGAAGTAGCGTGATTGAGGTGCAAAAATACTCCTGTTTTGTCATGGCGGAAAATGCAAAGATGTTAATTTGCTGATTGTCGATAGAAGCGAAATGCCGTATCTTTGACTTCCACGAAAAAAAAAATATTCTTGGTCGTCGACTCTAGAAGGCGCACACTGAAGCGAATCGGAGCCTGAGACGTGTTTCGAATTCACTGGTTACATAACTACCTTGCACACGAAAGATGCACTTCCGGCCAGCAAAATTTACTTATTAGGCAGGGATATATTACTACATCAACGTCTAGCTTTGTCCCATAAATAAATAAATAAATCAAATAACAGCAGTACAGGCATTCAAAATACAACATAGAGCATAGAATATCGTTCTTGCGTACGTTTTATAATGTACCAACACTGTTCCTTCAGTATTTTTGAAAAAAGAAAAGCACGTCTGATGTCACATCGTCTTTTTTTACACAACAATTGCGATGCCCCATAGCTTGATTGCTATGGTGATCAGTTTCATTTGAGCATCAAATGTAATTAATCTGACGAGGTCGCGTGAATTGCGCCCTCCGCCGTGCTCCAAACCTAATACAGTGAAGGCTGATGCCGGTCGCCTGGCGAGGGCCTACTCACGTCTAAATGTCAGGCTACAAATGTAATACGCGGTGCAAAATTATGGTGTTTTCATTCGTCATATAGTTCGCGTACAACATTTTCTTCACCGTGACGTGCACGACTACAGGCGGGGCAACGGTATGCTGCCCTCCACGGTACGATATACATTTGGAACACAGCGCAATGTGATATATCAACGTAGTGATATCCGGAAAATATTCAAGACACTGCGCTTGTATATTATATGTAATTACAAGATTAAAGCAAACATGAGAATATCGTGCTATTATCCATTTCATATCTGGAAATGATTAGCACAATATCAGCGTTAAAAATGATTCAATCCCCGCGGCTACTAGATGCGTGCTTCCCAGAGTACATCCGGAGTACATCCGGAGCCCGTGGAACACGGCGTCAATGATACAGGCAAGGAAAATAGATCGCGTATTTATGAATTCATGTATATAATTTTAACTAAATTAATTGATTGAAATGTTATATTGCAATGCTGTCTGTGTCTGTTCTATGAATTTTATAAACAACTTAATATGGAACTGCCAGAACTAGCCTTTGGTGTCACTGAAGTTTGTTTATGCATGTATTACGACATCCATACAAGGTATAAACGTAATGACAATTTCGTATAAATATACAGTATAGTTTTGTAGTAACTTGTATATATAGTCACACTTTCGAAGATTCTAGATACAAATCAAGAAATCCGGATCTCGCGATCGGGGGGAACTCTCGTGATTTTGAAATCTTCAAAAGATCCCCTTTTGTAATTTTTGCAAATGGAGATTTGAGATCATTACGTTTTCGTAATTGTGGTATCATTGCCAAGACAATCAACTTGCAGGGACGAGTGGCGTTTTCAATATTTTAAAGGTGATTGAAAGTGATATAGCATAGCATTTGTATACAGGATGTTATGGTTTAATTTCCATTGAGATTCAGAAAGAGTACTGCAAATTGCAACAAAAAATGGCATTGAATAGAAAAAATCCCATCCAGTTTCTGCCCACAATAAGTCTCTAAAGAAGGACTGACTAGATGGAATAATTAAAAAAATCAGAAGAGATGAGTTTACGGCTGAATTTTGGGGTACAGTTAGAGAGATTAATCATTTGCTTTCGACCATATACACTGATTGGAGGATCTGGCCGCACATTAACTGGTCTACTTATTTTCCAGTCTTTAGGGATAGCCGCAATGAGACCCTGCCATCGTAGAAACTGAATGTGGTTTAAATCCAATGTATTTAAGTCATTCCAATATTTAACCGTACCCTCCTCATTAAAGATGTCATCAGCTATATAAACAATTACTAGATCCTTTAAATCTGAATAAAATATACTTTTATTTTGTGTGAATAAGAATGTTTTTATTATTCCATATTATCTCATACGCAGGGGAAATAAACTCATACTGTGTAACATTACTCCATACATTTAGCATTTCCCAATAAAACGGTGGTAATTTAATATGTAGTGTGTTTATTGAGAGGTTGCATCTAAAAATTAATTTTCCCCCAAGAGGTTTTAAATAAAGATCTAGGAACCGTTTCCATGGATGACAATATGATGACAAATACCTTTTAACCCAGTTAATTTTAAAAGCTTTCTGCATAGCACAAATATCCAACATCCCTAACCCACCATATTTTTGAATTAATCTTTTTGACATCAGATTGATTAATATTAATCCGATTTAACATATAAAGAAATTTGGGTATAACAACTGATTTAATGATTTGTATTTTACCAATTTTGAAAGTTTACGTGATGTACGCAATGTGATGTTACGTGAAACGTGTGTTCCACCGTTACCTAGAAACCTGCGCCCTCTGGTGTGAAAACTTTCCAATTTTGTCTGCGTGGGGAGAGGGGTGATTTCCTAGGGTAAACGTTCGACAGCTCACCAGAACGCAAGGGAAAGCGATTACTATAAATTGCGCGCGGAACATCGACTGAGGGCGCTATAACTTGAAAATTGTCAATTGATTTGTCACCACTTACCGACGATTGGTCAAATAAATGCCGCTCAGTAGCAACGCAATACATCCAACCGCGTGTATTTATTTTCAAGTGCTTTCTTAATTCAAAACATAAAGTTTCACTTTTTATGAAAAATGCGATCTTTAATAAGACGATAAGATGCAAACATGAATTACATTGCAAATATAAAAAATATACATAAGTTTGAATCAACCAATAGAAACGTCGTCAGGTTATCAGGAAACACAGCAACAAAAATGTATGAACAGTCAGAATTTGGTAAGGCTTCATACTTGGTGGTATAAGCACTGTTCACAGTTAATGAGCCAAATCTGCACCCGAGAAGACGCGATTGAAACAGACCAGAGAGCACAATGTGACAGTGAGGGCGTAACTTGATCTCGAACGACTTTTAAAGCGGAAAGGGGTCGTCATTTACATACGCAGGATAATTCCTAAGCGACGATAACGCCGCACGCTATACACGCAAATACTCAAGATGGGTAGACGCTTATTTGTAAACAAAAAACGATACGGCCATCTGACGCATGCGTAGGTGACGACTCCCCCGGTTAAAGTGATTTCAATAAGTGACCTGTATGTCATCAAAGTATATTTATGCAAAATTGTTTACAAATAAACATATCTATCTTTGCCTCTTCATTGCCATATCACACTGAGACAAGAAATACAAGCCCGACGTTAGTTGACAAAATACAAAATACCCAACCTTAAGATCACTTTGATTAAATATTCACAAATACATATTTAGAATAAATAATATCTATAAATAAATGGGGCAGTTTCCGATTTTGACAAATTAATAACATAAAGTCAGTTTTATTGACAGATAAAATATATTCACATTATCAAAAAGACGAGTCTGATATATATATCAGACAAATATATATATATATACATATATATATTTTGTTCACTCATAAAAAACGCTACTTCAGATATGTTATTCGGTGTAAAAATACGATATAGTTTCCAATATTAAAATATTGATATTAAATTATTATTTGTCTGATAATTGAAGGCACCCCCTAACGCCAAAAATAATAATCCTTGGCAAAAACTCTGAGAAACCTTCAATTTGAGGCCAGCTTAGAACGTTTTCTGCCTCTGCGTTCTTTTCTATCTTTGCGTTTCATTTTTCTTTGGTTCCTTTTCTCTTCGCGAAGTTTCCTCTTTTGCAACCTCTTTGCTTTCCTGTCACTAATAGGTTCTACTTCTATAACATTACTGCTGCAAGTGACATCAAATGTCCCATTGCCGGGATGGCCTACGACCATGTTGTAGGCTGTGCAGTTTGTGTGTGGTTGGCAGCGCGAGACGCTGTCGTAAACATCGCTGTAACTTCCCTTGCGGCATTTACCACATTTCACGTCTCTGGTTGATGTACCTGTGAAAGATAAAATGTGGTAGTAAGTAGAATATTGGTACTCATATGCGATGGCCAAAATGGTTATTTAAATCATAGAGGTAGAAAACTTATCATGTATTTTTAAATTTTACTGCAGAAATTTGCGGATTTTTTTGTTATCAATGCCTAAAGTTGGACGACTGTTGCGATGAAAAATGTCAGGAAATAAGTAATCAGTAACTCATCTTGGAAGCGTCCATGTGCAGAATTTCCGGTACCTACAAGTGTAAAATGACCTTTGTGATCCGACAAAGGTCATTGCGCATGCACAAAGCTTTTATTTATGGTTGCGCATTCAATTTTATAGACGATGTTTAAACGGAATTTATTTCATTCTCATGTGTAAATAAGCGGCTATCATCATGTAGATAAAACGAATCCTAAATAAAAACGATAAGTGGTTTAACCAGAGCGATGACAAAGGATGTTTATAGGATTAACACAGGCCTAAATAGCGTCCTCACTCCTTCTCTTTTACCTCCAAGGTAAAGGCTGATCAACTAATGGATCGTCCGGCACGTTAAGTGGCGCAATAAACCTTCCGGCCAAATAGTGGTCACGTTGCTAGAGAATTTTTTACCGAATAAATTTAGAGAAAATAGACGTAATTGGCTATTAGATACTTGAACAAAAAATGCGAAAAAAAAAGAATAATATGGGTGGAATTTTATAAAACGTGACAAAAATTTACTTTGGTCAAGTAACGGTACTGGCCGGGTTAAGTAGACAATTTACCTGGAAGTATCGAGACTAGGGTGTAAGCAAGAAGCATGCCCGTTGTCATGACGTCAAATACAAACTTGTCAGTCTGCTGATATCAGGTAAAAGGGAATATGAGCACAGTATCACGTTGCACGTCATATCCGGTATGCGCGCGTATGTGAAACATAGATTTCGGGGAAAGTGCACAAGCTGGTTCAAATTTTCTCAGTGTTTGTTACATAAATAAGGCATTTTTCTATTAAAGTTGCACTCTCACAGCATGATAATACGGGGTGTGCGGTCATCATACACTGCATGAAACGGATATTTGAGGATTCGCTTTTGTTCCGAATAACCGCGGGAATGTAAATCTTAATCAATCCACGCGGATTAGAACATGATTCAAAAGCCTTAGAATTAAATTAAATCAAATAGAAAGCATACGTGAATTCGTTGCGTTAAATATCGCGCATATTCATACCATCAATACTCACAGTGCAACTTTAAAAGGCGACCTCTTTCCACACATTTTGATACGTTAGTAATAAATATTTACCTACCATTTCTCGAGACACCACTACCAGGTGGACATTTCGTGTGAGGTCTACACAAGTCGCCTGTTTTATAATAGCCTCTTTTGCACACGCACGTGCGTTTTTGAGTAGGTGAGCATTCGTTTTCAACCTAAAACGAGAGTGAATGTCCGTTTTGAACATAGACCGTTGAGGGCAGAATACACAACTGGAAGACATTATTCGCAACTGGAAATCAAGTCTAGTCTTAATCTGAACTAAATAATTATTTTAAAATGTTTCAAAATAATAAATTTGTCGGAAACCAAATATGAAGGCACTATTTTATTAACCAATATAGCATAACATTCGAACGTTGACTGAAATCAGTAGAATCATGGAAGGTACCTTCCATGGTAGAATGAAACATCGGCAGAAACAGGAACATATAACCAATTGTCAGATATGCAAATACGTACGTGCAAATATGTCGTGGATTCAATAAATACCCTCAAAATGACCCCCACGAAGTCTTAAAGGAAGTGTATATATTATTGCCCATCTCTGAGAAAACTAAGGAAGTTATACCCATTACACAGGAATACCCCGTATGTTTTTCCGTCCGACCAAATTGGGTATATCATTCACCATAAATTATTCCTGTTCAGTGTTGTCACGTGATGATTTGCGCCAGCTTGTAGGACTACATCATTAGTTATGTCTACATATTATATACTACACAATGTGTAGATTTTTATTGAAATAACTACAACTTACCACTTCATATCGACTTGTACAATACGTTGAACAGTACTGGCATTGCTCACACTGATTCCAAAATGTCATATAGTGACCATCAGCACACGGCGAACATCTGTTAATTAAAAATTAATTCTGACGTAACTATATTGATTAGCTAATTTTCATATTGTTGTCGGTATGCATAAAAAACTTCCCCCCACATTATTGAACAAGATAACGTAGTTATTTTCAAAAATGCTGTAACATGGGGTAGTGTTCACGGAGTGGAAAGCATGTTTACAGACGGGCTATCATAGCGGACGTGTTATGCTCACATTGCGTGACATCTCATACGTCGTCGAGAAACTGATAAACCCGGGTGACGTCGGGGGTAGATGCAGGAATTCAGATAATATATTCTCATTTCCTCTTTCAAAGTATGAACAATGACGATTACTCTGCTTGTAGTTCGGGATATATTGACAATTTGTTATAACTTCTGCTTTTCCCTTCTTGTTTTCAAAGTACAGAATGAAACTTGAATGTATTTAGACTAAAATAATACTTCCGGGAAACTGTTCCCTCATCTTATTCATGGAGGTACGGCTTCATGTCTTATTCAAGTTCTTTCGCCATCTTGTGTCAA